AAAACAAAACAAGACAAGAGAAAATTGTAAACTTTGATAATCCTTTTATTTACCAATAATGTAATTAATAAATGTGTGTGTGTTAATGTTCTTTTTTTTTGTTTTTTTTTTTTTTTTTCTAATCTTCAGTATTGTTTTTACCGCATTTAACCTAAGCAAAGAAAAACAACAAAATTAATTATAAAATTCAAGGAAAAAAAAGAACCAAAAGATAAAATCGCTTAATTTAATAATCATTAAAGTTAAGTAAAAAAAAAAAAAAAAGAAAAGATAATCAAAATAGAAAAAACAAAATTTATTCACTGATAATGATAATAATGATGAAAAGAAAAACAAAATATAAAGAAACAAACAAAAGAAAAGTAAAACAAACCAAACATGGGGCCACTAGTACGTAAGTGTTCGGTTAAAGTCAATTTTGGTGATAAACAAAAATGATTCAAAAGAAAGCCGTAGATGGAAAGATGGACATCTTTCTTTCGATTTATTTATCGATTTTCTTAATTTCTTAGTGTCGTTTAAAGGGATTGCGTTACTTATACATACGTAATATTTATTTTCTTTGCGTTTTATATGAAAATCAAATCTTTTCCGTTCCGTTCCGTTTTTTTTTTTTTCTTTTTATTTTTCTTTCCTCTTTTTTTAGTGTATTTGCGTGCCTTGTTCCTTTTTGTTTTCTTTCATTAATTTATCTACAAAATTAGCAAATAATAAATAAGTGATATAAAATAATTGCAACAGCCTCACCCTTAATCCCTTACTCCATCATAACGAAACTAATGGTATAAATGATAGATGAAGACACTAAACAACAATTCTAACTAAATACTTCAACAAACAGCTCCAACAACTAATAGAAACAAAAAAAAAAAAACCAAAAACCAAAAAAAAAAAAAAAAAAAATAGTAAGAAAACCAAAACCAAAGAAAAAACGACAAAAACAAACCAATTTCCAATCGACCATTTCAGATGTACAGTAATTATCCGACAGCCGGAAGTCCGCCATTACCCGACATTATAGGACAATATTATTCGCCCAGTTATGGGATAACAGGTTCACTGCCACCTTATGATTTTTATGGCATACCGGCGGCATCGGCCGGTTATCTGTACGAGCCCACTACGGCGGGTATTGCCGGTTTATATGGGCACACATCACCTGTAAGACGACGCCGTTACAGCATAGCTGGCCTGCCATCAGCCTCAATGATGAATGATTATTATGGATACGGTATGCCTACGCTGGGGCCGTCTTTACATCAGTCTTCCTCATCGAATATATTAAATTTACTCAACGAAGCTCATAAGTCAATTTCGCGTTCCTCTCAGATACTTAGTCAGCATGCTCGCATACAGCAGGCTCAACAAACTGTTGGTCAGCCAGTTACACCGCTATCGTCGCATTATCCCGGTCGCGTTATATCCAGCTATCCGACATTGCATCCGGGCGACACATCACCGCCTTATTTAAATGATAATTTAATGCAAATGTCTGCGAATTTCTCGTCGCAACCGAATATGTATTTCCAACAATACACCCAACCGCCGCCGCCACCACCTCCTCCGGCTCCGGGTGGTGGTCATGGTATGGGCATTGTCGGTTCGCGCTTAAAGCCCGCTTACTCGGTTTCGAATCTCAATTATTTAAATTATCCGAGCGGCATTGCTGGCTTAGGCGGCAGCAAATATATAACGGGTGGGGTGCCCAGTAGTAGCTATGCGAATGCCTACACACAGACTCTATTGAACCCATCAGATCCTTATAACTACAGTAATCTACTGCAGCAACGCAATCTAATGTCATCATTGCACGCTTCCAATCCCACTGTATCACAACTTTATCAACCACCACCACAACCACCACCACCATCATCGTCACATTATACACAGCAGCAGGCACATCAACAGGCATTAGCTTACAATATACAACAACAATTTGCTGGTGCGCAACATTATGCCCATCAGTTACCGTCTAGCACTCATCCTCAAGCGCACATTCATACGTCCGTGCAGCAGCAATTGAATCCAGATCATCAATTTCATGTGCATCAGCAGCAAAATCACCTGCAAACACATCCATTGGCTGCATTGGCCAGCACGACAGCACCGTTCCCAGCTACATTAACTAGCAGTGCTCTGCATGATGCACGTAGCGCGATAGGTAGCACGGCCGGTTTAACGGGGTCTAGCGGTGGTGCGGCTGCTGCCTACGATTTACTCATACACCCGTCCTCGTCATATCCTACATCACAACCACTACATCATCATCTTCACCAACACCATCAGCATTATACTCCACATAATTTACATGCTACGCACACGACACATATGCAGCCACCGCATGTCACCACCACATCGTCATATCATCATATGCCACCATATACGAAAATAGATTTAGATTATCCGAAACTGCCGCAAGAGCATAAGCGCCAAGTAAGTTTTAAATTTGATGTAGATACGCTATCATTAGATTCTTAAATGAAGTCAATCAAGCCAGCCAAAAATATATAAACAATAACAGAAACCCAAAAAAAAAAGAAAAAATTTATAAAAAAAAGATAGAGAAGAAAGACGGGAATTTATCTTAAAAAATAAAAAAAAAAATAAAAAGGAGAAGAACTTTAAAAATACTTTTATATACATTAGTAAATTAAATGACATTTAATTGAATTGCATTTACGAAACAATAATACGATTAAACTGAATTGATTGAACTGACTTTATTATCATATATATTACAAATATATATATAAGTATATGTGTGTATGTGTTTGTGTATGTGTGTGTACAAACACATATATATATATATATATAGATTTGTAAAAATATATCAAGAGAAAATATTTATATAAAAAGTATAAAAAAAAGAACAGTTTAGAAGAGAACTGCATTTAACGCTCGCAAACGCCAATTAAGTTAGTTGAAAACTACAATAAAAAAGAAGAGGAAAAAAAAAAGGAAAATCTCAACAAAAAAATAGGGAATTAAAGGTAATAATAACAAATGACTATTAAGAGCCAACTAACAGTTTTTCTTTTTTTTTTTTGGGTATTTTTTTTTTTTTTTTTTTTTTTGTAAACGTATAATTTCCAGCGTTGTTCAGTTCAGTTTCCGTTCTCGAACGTTCTGTAACAGTGCCTAAAAGTAAGTTTTCTTGCGACAACTGTTAGAATACAATTAAGTGATGCTTAAAAGAGGTAGGTTTTTGCTTCCGGATTTTTTTAAAATTTTTTTTATTTTGATTTGGTTTCAGAGAACTCAGGGCAATTATTTTCAGACAAATAAAGCGTATATAGGGAAAAATATCAACTAAACCCAAGCACGTCTCTCTCTCTCTCTCTCTCTCTCTCTCTCTTTCTTTCTCTCTCTCTCTATCTAGGACCCTTTTTTCCAAGATTTATATCCATCCCCATTTATTGCTGCCTTGTAATTTTTTACAAATTCTTTTCTTCTTTTTAAAGTTTTCTTTAGGATTTTTTATTAAATCAAAGCCTACTACTATTTACGAAATCTGGAAATCTATCGATCAATAAATAATTGTTTTATTTATGCATTCATTCCTAGTTGATTTCTCAAAGTTTTCTATTTCTTACTTATTTACTTATTTACTTACTTTTACTACTAGATCTATATCCTTATTTTGTTCTTTTATAATATGCATATTCCTCATTTACTAACTCATTCATGCGCATACTATATATATATCCCGATAAAATCACTTTAATTATTATCTATTATATACTTAATACAATTATTAATATATTTATTAAAATACAATAATATTTGTATCATTAATTATTGCAAATAATTAGCAAACAAACAAATTAAAAAAAAAAGGTCAATTAAAAGCAGTCTAATTAATTATGAATATATATATTTATAAAGCAAATCTTAAAAAGCAAACCAAATAAAAGTGATTATGTTTTATATTGAAAAAAAAAAAAAAAAAAAAGAAACGACAAGTTAGTGATGATGTATTCGTATCGCTTATGCATTGAAATGCTTATTATAAGAATTTCATGTATAATCAATCCATAATGTTAAATGAAAATTTCGTTTTTTAATGCGATAGTTGATGAAATGAAACTTTTCTTTTTCTTCGTTTATTAGAATAAAGTGACACAGTGTTGTTTAATGTAACGAAAACTGCAGCACTTTGCTTCACTTTGTCACCAGTGGTCGTATGAGTAAGAAAAGTTAAAATTCTCATAATAGCAATTAATATCTGCTTAGTTATTTTATTTAAATAACACTCATACGTCCATGATACCAGCAATGAACTCCCTCTCTATCTCTCTCTTATGCTAATTGGAATATGATAAATATACGAAAATATAAGTTTAGAAATGAGAGACTGATATTGAAATAAAAAATCTCTCAATTTATTTTGCTCTCATGCGAGTGCCTAAGCAGATTGTGTATTAAGGCAGTGTTAACTTAGAGGTTTCACTTTTGATTTGCATGGCATGCTATCTCTATGCCCTTCTGGTTGCAATAAAATACAAACCAACAAAGAAAAGGAAACGGGCTAAGCTCTCCATCGCCCTACCCATATGCATGTAACAATTTTGACAAATGCTACTAAATTTCACCAAAGTATCTTGAAGATTAAGGTCTGTAGATTAAAAACAAGTCGATTCAGAAAGTGCTCCCGAATCGATCGGTATAACCGAAAGTGGATCTGTTCCATCAGTCCTTCTAGATGTTGCATATATCCGCACAAACTTAATGTATCCTTATACATATAAAGGTTTACTTTTTTAAAACAACTTCTCCGAGAGATGGTCATAAGTGGTCCTGAATCGTTCAAACTTTTCACATTCTTACGTGCTGTTTACTGTTTACTGATTTTTGTCGACATATAATGTCGATTTATAATAAGTCATAACTCTAAAAATTTCAAAGCAGAGATAAATATACAATTATAAAAAGTATTTCAAAAATGGGCTGCAGTTATAGTTTTTCGAGAAAACATGTGCTTGACTTAACGGATGACAAAGTTTTTAATGAGTTGATTCGACATTTCAGATTTTCAAGAAAATTTCTGAACCCTCTACACATTCGAGATTCAATTCACTTAACAAGTTTGAAAATGTGCGTCATTCGACGGAAGGTTTTCCAAGTTGTCCAAATTAAGATAGAAAATCACAAATCAATACACATTTTTCGAATGGAGTTCATAAACGGGACTTCAGCAAGATAGTTATCACTCAGAAGAGAAATTCGGAAAACCTATCAATTGTATTTGAACCGCTCAGTGAAATTGCTAGCATGTTTGACGAAAATATAAAATGTATATAGAGACTCCAAGACGTCCATCATTTCCTTTCTCAATCAGTTTATAATCGCATATGCAAGAATTTGGATCTTATGGCAATTGTCTCTACTATTAGCCTCGAAATTGTCTAGGCTATCACTATATAACAGCGCTACACTACTATGTTATGTGTCGGCGCTTCGCTATTCTTAAATCTGTAGCTTAGATAACTGGTCTTACAAATCGTCCTTAACACGATTATAGTCTCCGTATCATCTATTTAATGAAGAGAAACATATTACCATATACATATCTTTTGTCGAGTTTTTCAACAAATTAAAAAATGAATTAAATTAAAAAAAAAATGAAATTAATTATTTATAATTTTTTAAAAACCAAACGATATGAACGAATATATATATACATATATATATATATACGTAAACACAATGAACTCAATTATGATCTAACAAAAGCGCTGTAATTACATATTAAACGAAAAAACAATACTACAAGTATTTCTCAAAGCAAAAAACAAAAAAAAACAAAAAAATGCAAAAAACCCTTGTACTCCTACGCTAAAGTACACACTTCCATAAGCGAGTGAACATAACAAGAATAATCTTTAGAAATTCAACTCGCTTGGCATATAGTACGAACAATATGGAACATTCCGGAACGTTCCTAATTCGAGCTTAATGAAAATTTTTACTTAAGTCATCGAATTTTATTCGAACTTTATTCAGGCGTTTAGTTAAGTCATCGAAAACCTTTATATAATTAAATGTAAGTTCAAAGCCTGAATAAATTTCGAATGAGAAGAAACCAACTGATGCAGCCCATTTTGTTCGTATTCATATTTGAAATAATTTCATTTAATAAATTAATTCAATAATAGTAACTACCATCCATTAATAATAATAACAATAATAATAATAATAATTTGATTTATAGATAAAAATAAATCGAATAAACTATGAAGCAATTAATATCTCAAGCAGATAGAAAGCATGCGCATCTGTTTACTCTCTGATAAGACATGATTGCTGATCGTAAATTTATGTGCTATTATCTGAACGCGTTACAGAGTTTTCGATCATAAATCGTTTATCAAAAATGTCAATGTATTGTCGCCTAATTAACTGCGATGAGAAGATTTCACTTCGTTAAAAAGGAAGAAATTTCCTTCTGTAAAGCTTTCCCGATTAATAATGGTGGAACGAAGAGCGACATGCGCCCTTTTAAATATAACGAAATAGGTTTCTTTTTCTGCGACTTTATATAAGCTTCTAGGCGTTCTCGAGCGTTGGCTTCAATATTTTTGAAAATCATAAAATGAAAAAAATATGAAATTTAAAACAAAATTAGAGAAGAATATGAAAAAGACAATGACTTATGTGGCTATCAAATGAACGGCTCTTATGTTTAAAGGTCATAAAGATTCTCATTATGTTCATTGCACTCTAAAATGTCGTCAGTGATTTTTCAGTCAGAAAGAATACAAAAATTATGATGCGTTGGTGATGTTTTCTCATATACTTAACGAAATTAATTCTAATTTGCAATAGGCCATGCACTGGTTCTTGTTTCCCGAATAATATCGTTACTGCCAAATAAAATACTTTTTTAAAATTTAAATGTAAAAAAAGTCTTTATTTCAAGTCGCCGGCAAATGCAGGCGTATGCGCTGATTAGAACAAACGCACGCATGTTGTTTATAGGCAACAAGAGGTGTAGGCAATGGTTAGCTTATTCGCCTATAATTTACACATATCTCACCATCAGCTTTCACCAGCGACTGATCGTAAAAAAAAAAGAAGAAATGGAACAATCTGATATAGGACATGGTTAGTTTCTTTGCATCTCGTGCAAACTAATCAATATGACGCGCTACAGAAGGGGGCAATGTGGACTCTAATTGTATGCTTGCTTCTTGTATGTCGTGGGCAGTTCCGGCAGTAACAAAACCCAAGCAATGGGATATATGACAAGCGCGAATAATGGTTAGCTCCCAGATGCATGCATGCAAATTTCATAGCAGCATAAAAGTTCTGGACAGCCACAAAGTCATATGCAATGTGATATACGACAGGCAGGAGCATTGGATAAATCAATGCGCAAATAGGTTCCACATATTCCTTGGAAAGCACGCTATTCTAGCTTTAAACAGAAACTAAACTTTCTCATATAGAACAGATCTACGAAATGATATTTCTCGTGAAAATTATAAGTCTAACCTATAAGGATTATAGGGAATAATGCCTTTCCGCAAAGCCGCTTTCACGAATACCACAAATTTTCGATTGTAAAAATCACATCGGTCTTGAAAAAGCTTGCCTATAAACTCAAGCTCAACATCTGAAGCATTATCTTTTCTTTATAAATTGTGGCGCCAAGAATCACAAGCAAGCGTAACATGATTTACAAATGGTCTAGAGTAAGCGCTCTTAAATTCACGCTTCGTGAAAAGCGACGGCTTCGTTTTGCGTGTCTGTTCTTCTTGTACCTTACATCATATACTACAACGCCCAGAATAGCCTGACATGTACCCGCCATGCATTATGCAGTGCGTTTCAGTATCACTTTCTTAATCGATCTAAACTTTTCTGTCCGTCCATCCATCTTGTTTCTTTACGTTCAACCTATAGGCCGTAATTTTTGAGATACTTTGATCAAGCTAAGTCCACTGCCCTGCATTTCCCCAAGGACTAAAGCTATTGAAACTGGCCAGGGTCGGAGACCTTTTTCCATCATTTCTCCTATAAATGCCTTAGGTTAAAAAAGCGTTATTTGAATAGGGTATTTATTACTAAGACGTGGTCCACCATAGTGTTTTTACTTATTTGCTTTTAAGAAACTGTTACTAGCTTTCGTAAATGAAACGAAAAAAGAACGTTCGCAACCTAAAGTGCGATCCATTTCTATGATGATTATCATTATTATTGAACTCTTGTTAACATTCAAAGTCAATCGTGTTATAGGTATGGTCGCTTAGATAACATTTTTGTTTTGTGTTATCATATGGAAAGCTTTCTATCTGTTTTCGTTATTAGATCGACAGCAACTATCAAGATATTAAGATATTGAACGTCTTATATCGTAGACGTGTGTATGCATAAAAAAATATACTCCAAATAGTTATATGTAATCGATTCTAAACTATATATCAATGACTGTTATTCTAATATATTATTTATGAAATTTTTTGATATTCCGTTTATACGCAACGATATCTTTATACTCTCTCTACTTGCTAACTATATAATGAAATTAATATCAATTAATTTATACCTTAACTAGATTAATTATATTAATAACAGGAGAAAAAAAAATTTATATATATATATATAACCGAGAAACGCAAAAAACTGCTACAATAATATATTTAAATAAATATTTCAAAATAATAAACGATGCATTTAATACGTTCTCTTCTTTTCATTTTTTATTTTCTTTTTATTTTATATTAAACATCTTTTATAACAATTAAACTTAAAATACTTACAGTATATATATATATATATATATATATATATATATATACCTAATTTTTAATTCTATATATATACCTAATTTCTAATTCTAATATATAATTTTCATACAATAAAATATATATAAATAATGGAAAAATCATTATTATTAATACACATATAAAATGGAATAAATAAATTGAAGCATAATACAAACAAAAGAAATAAGTAAATGAAATTTAAGACGAAACTCTTCTTCGAATCATAGTATTTTGGCAAAGCATAATGAAAATGAAATTAAAAAATTCATAAAAAAAATAAAAATAAACCCACACCACCCATCTGAACAAAAAAAATCGTGTGCTCGGTTGCCTAATAAAAGAGAAGAAAAGAGAAGAAGAAGAAGAAGAAGAACATGAAGAAAGGATTAACCGAATAATAAGCAAAACAACTTTGCTTTGATTTAAGAAATAACCGTGCTTGAGACTACCACTTTGCTGTGTGCAATGGAAAGTGTGTGTGTTGGTGTGCTTTTCTTACGATCTTATGACACAACAAGCGAATGCTTAGATGCGTTAAGCAGGCATACTTTTTTACACGTAGAAACTCCTTAAACTCACTCGCTCGCTCGCTCGCTCTTTCTCTCTCTCTCTCTCTCTCTCTTTCTGTCTCTCTCTATACTTCTCATTTTCTATGCCACAATCTTACACAAAAAATTCTTCTCTCGTACTCGCTCACATCACATGAATTAATCATTCAATTTATCATTCTTAGCTGAGATAATAATACCGGAGTTTCTCTCTACTACATGCATACAAAAAAAAAAAAGAAAAAAAAAATAGATACAAAAAAATACAAAAGAAAACAAAGATATGTTTATTTTTTTATAGAAAAAAAAAAACAAAAAAAAAGAATGAAAGATGAGCTTACTGTGTTTTAATTGCTTCTTTTCTATAAATTTTCAATTATCATAATTAAGTTGGACGAATTCCGTCTTGAAATACAAAGAAGGGATCAAGAAATATTGGCAATGGCAGCTAAAATGAAGACTCTGGAAGAGCAGCATCAGGTAAATTCTACCCTCTACCATCACAACACACTACTAACCACACCACCTAACAGATAACGAATAAAAGAAAACATCTCCGCCATCAGCTTACTTACATACAGATAATAATGAATATAATTTTTTTTTTTTTTTTAAATTTATCACTTAAGAAAATCAATTATTATTGTTAATTATCATTGTTATATATATACACGCCTCTTTAGGATTATCAACGGCATATAGCGGTCTTGAAGGAATCATTATGTGCCAAAGAAGAACACTACAATATGCTGCAGGCCGATGTGGAGGAGTTAAGAGCCCGTTTGGAGGAGAAAAATCGCTTGCTGGAAAAGAAAACGCAGGGCACACTGCAGACCGTGCAAGAGCGCAACCGTCTCACTACCGAGTTAACAGAATTGAAAGATCATATGGAGATTAAGGATCGCAAAATTAGTGTTCTCCAAAGAAAGGTGGTTCTCTCTTTATAAAAGAAAAAAAAAAAAAGAAAACAAAACAAAAGAAAACAAAATAAAAAACAAAAATATCTTAAATTATAGTTCATATGCTTTCAGTGCACTTAAGTATTAGCTTTGTGTATTTGTGCGTGCACCTAGTTACTGTTGTTAATTGTGAATTTCATTATCCCTGAAAAACTATTTTGTTTTATATATACGTTTGTCTTTAGATTGAAAATCTTGAAGATTTATTAAAAGAAAAGGATAATCAAGTTGACATGGCTCGAGCCCGTTTGTCGGCAATGCAAGCTCATCATAGCAGTTCGGAGGGCGCTCTCACAAGTCTCGAAGAGGCCATTGGCGATAAAGAAAAGCAAATGGCCCAATTACGAGAACAGCGAGATCGTGCCGAACAAGAGAAACAAGAAGAACGTGAACTGCATGAGCGTGAAATTGCCGACTATAAAATCAAATTACGGGGTCTCGAAAGCGAAGTTGAAAAACTTAATACACGACTCGAGCGAGCAGTTAACGAACGCGAACGTTTAGAAATCAAATTGGAAGCGTCACAAAGCGAACTGGGTAAATCGAAAGCCGAATTGGAGAAGGCAACGTGCGAAATGGGCCGAAGCAATGCTGACTGGGAGGCAACCAAACAACGTATTGCACGACTTGAATTGGAAAATGAACGACTCAAACATGATTTGGAACGATCTCAGGTATACTAAATGAAAAAAAAAAAAAAAAAACACATTTCAATGTCAATATGCCTATTGAAGTCCCCAGCTAGTTACCAAAAAAAAAAATACGAAAGCAAAACAGTATCACCGAAAACCTGCAGTTGTCATAGTAATACATTTCTAACATCCCATACTTACATATATATATATATATATACTCCTGTTTATAATCACTGCCCAAGGGTAAAAGTCAGTATTGGTCGTGTCCTTCCGTTGAGAGCTTATCATAAACAAAAGACGTTTATTTTGGAAATATTTTAAATCTGTTTATGAGAAAATACATTTTGCTTACAATTTTTTTTTATTTTCATTAGAAATTCACTCAAACTGAATAGATGGTTAGCGTAGAGCGCATAATATGTGGTTTTTGATAGAAAATCGGCTTAGGTCACTTCAAAGTAAGCTCGTCTTTTATTATAATAATTACCGTGACATATTAAAGGGATTCGGGGCCATAGAGTTGTCTGTCTACCAAAAATAGATGGAAAGCCGAACAGAGCTTCTCTTTAAACACTTTTAGTCAAGCCGATATTTGTCTTGCATTTGAAGGCACTATAAACTCCGAGAACTCTGGTCTGCTACTCTGTGGTTGCTTTGTGGGACTTACCTTAAAAGCTTCGATACTTGGTTTTTTCTTTTATTTTTTTTTTTACTCTGCTTTTATTTTTTGCTTTGTTATGATTTTATAATCAACTCGAGGAAATACAACACTAAACAATTTTTCTCTTTTTTCTTTTTATTTTTATATGTCTGTCTCTCTATCGATACACTCTGAAACTGTGTGTTAAAAAACATCTCCCATACGTATTAAAACAACAACAACAACAACAACAACTACTATTACTACTACTACTACTACGACTATTACTATTATTACCTACCATTGCTACCTACGTATATACTCTATCGTTAATATATATAATTCACAATTTCTACAATTAAAAAAAAAAAAAAAAACATATTGTAACAATTTAGCTGCAGCTAGAAGAACAAACCACATTACATAAAGTAAGAGTCGTCTTTGTAAACTCTATAAACACTCGTATCGTACTATTAAGAATTACATTAAGTTGAATCATCTAATTAATATATTCATCATTCATCATTAACATAAACTAGTGTGTCAGTTAGTTTGTCAGTGCACTCATGAATAAATTATTTTTATTTTTTTTTTTATAAAGCAAGGAAAACGATGCAGCGAAGAAGTGAATGCAGTGTTTTCCTTGCTAAATAATATTTCGCACCTAAACTTTACTTAACTACATATGCACTAATAATGCACTCATTCCTAGAGGTTTTCTACTGCACTTTGTTTTTGCTATGCCATGTATTCATTCATTAACTCACATTTGGTTAAGTCGTTTGAATAATTCACACTTAGTTCTAACTTAAAAAACTAGCAGCTTTTGTTTAGATATTTAGATTAACGTAAAAATTTCACATTCCAAATTAATTAAAGGTTTTGATTTAATAACAAGTACAACAAACCAGTTGTCAATCGCCCTTTTTCACGGCCCCTATTTGCCTTAAATGTCTTTGTGTTACAAACAAAACAAAAAAAACAAACAAAAAAAAAAAGAAACACTAGCTCCTTGGCTTACATTTCTTAGAGATAATAATTAAAATGTTTTTTAAAAAATCTAAAAAAATCTAAAAAAAAAAAAAGAGAACAAACCCAAAAACATTCAAACTGTTTTCCATTTACAGTCGGTACAAAAATTAATGTTTGAATCCGGACAAATATCGGTAAGTTTTCAATATACAACTGTGACGTCAACACTTAAGCTTATTTACTTAATGGGAATACATTAACAGAAATCAGACAACGATAGAAGGTATTTACATAGGTCATAAGAGTATCCCCGTCTTGTTGACTATAATATATCGCTCAAAAGGCTCGTAGAATAACTTACAAATGTCGTCACTTTTATCGGATCCAGATGACTGTTAAGAAGTATCAGTCGTCAAGTATAATGTATGCGAGATCTTATATCATTCTGAAATTTTTGTTGTAATCAAGACGACAGTCAACAGCTTATAATACGGTATACCAGCACACACTACATCCATTACTATAGTGAACTCTACCGCACTGAGCCAATTCGTCTACTTTTACGGATAAGGCGTCGTTTTGTTTTTGCACAAACTTGAGAAAAAATGAATTTCGTGTAGTGTTATCAAAAACCAAACTTTAGGGTACGGTTTGATTAGAAGGTTCGTACTATGTATAAAGTATAGGGATTCGTCAATAGTTATCCTACATCCTATGAACTCATTGAATGACGTGTTATACATAGCAGACGACGAACGATTTTAGATTATGTGAAGCCCAAAAGAAAATGGTCGCATTGTGCCATATACATGCAAGTATATGAAAAATTTATAAAAATCGAAATGATCGTGGATCCTTCAGCCACAACCCACAACAAAAACGTATATCAGAAATCGTCCATCTGAATTACATTGAACTCAATGAATTGTCTTAAAAAGTTCTGATGGACTACATAAACAATGCACAACTTGTATTACATATCTATTACGCTCACAGTTATTCAAGTTCTTTGCCACTATTGTAAAATATCGTGCACTCATTCGTTCTGAAATAAGTATGGATTACTTACTCTCCCCTTACTCGTTTAGTAAAGGCGACATAAATTATTATTATAGTATTATCGAAAATTTTAGATTCAAAAACACTGACTAGCAAACAATCTCGTTATGAATGATATATAAAATTTTGACTTTTAGTATCGTATGAAAGGGACGGGGGGCTCTTGCTGTTGAAAAACGAAACATAAAGCCTGCCTTTTAAATTTAAGTTAATAGAACTCTTTTAAGTTATGTTAAGCGAGTTCGTTGAACGTCCTCCCACTTAGAAAATTAACGCTTGTCCCCAAATGGTTTTCCACGTATTTATTATTTCTTTTTTTTCTTGTTTTATATAAAGAATAACTAGGGAAGAAAGCTTTTTATTACACAACAAATCGATAGGTCGAGAAGGTCTATGGATTTTTTTTGAGCAAGTAACTAGAGCTGGCCAGAAATGAATGAAAGCAGATTTACTAGTTCTTATGGTCACATTTTAGCAATGCGGTTTTCTTTCGGTTTTCGACAGTGGGCGAAAAATATGCTCTATACAACGAGATGCGAGGACATGAAAAGGGAACACACTGTCGACTTACCCAGTATTTTTGTTTTTAACAAATAATAGCCGTCAGAAAATGAAACGAATGAATGAAAGCATACACCTTGAATGAAACGTGACTGGGGGAAAAGAAATACGTTCCACACAACAATGTTAATAAGTAGGGAAAGAAGAAAAACACTGGCGCCTTATCTATATATTTTCTTCAAGTAAATAGTTTCCGTGGGAGAGAGATGTGGAAACAAAAACTAATTCCGCCAAAGTAAGATTTTTCGCCAAAGAAAAATCACTCTCCAATGAAGGATGTGTACTACAAACCGTTTAAGTGACTTTAATCTGCTGCTTCATTAAGGTGACACCAAGTGAGTAACATAGTGACGGCATTACCAACGCCAAAGAAGTTTCGCCGGAAAACAGTCCTACATTGGTCCTATTTCTATATGCAGTCATGGACAAGATCACCGCAGACAAATTTTTTATGGTGGACTAGTGAATTTTGGAAGAAGAATATGGGAATGAAGGAGTTTCAGTTAATTATGTTTTTGCTTATTTTAAACACAGCGAATTGCTAATGTAATGTTCTAACATCTAGTCCTGCTTGCCCCATATACTGATCTAATTCCTAGCATGTTACTATCTTTTCCAAAAATCTGAGAAAATCAAAAACTTAGGAAATTGTATTTCCCTACACACTATTTTCAAGAATATACAAGCGATTGTTTCTGGTTTGTTGGCCGTATTTAGGATCATTGTCCTTTTCTTTGTTTTTTCTTTTTTTGTTTCTAATTATCACAAAGGTGTTAAAGCATTTAGAACACTTTTGAAAGACAGTTTTAGTCGAGACATAACATAAACGAATGTGCGATTTAATATAAATTTGAGAAACAAAACAAAAAAACACAAAAGAAACTCATATATATGTATATATATATATATATGCATATAACAGATTTTGAATAGTGCTTTACATCTTTTCAACTTTTCATTTCGTTTTGCGGGTCTTTGAATGCGTTCACTTTTGAATTCGTTTTAAGTTTTTTACAAAATATGTACATACATGTATATACAATATAAAAAATATTAATTAAATATTTTATAAAAAAAAAAAAAAAAAAAAATTTCCTCTTTATGATCTGGCGATTAGACAACATTTGGGCGCACAACATTAACCACTTCCCAAGAGCTGGATCGAGCACAAGAGAGAGCTGATAAGGCGGCCGCTGAATTACGGCGCACGCAAGCTGAACTGCGTGTCACTCAGGTATTGAACATAATTGAATTATTTAGTATCGTATTAGAAAAGAATCTTTTATCTCTTTTTTTATTTTATTTTTAATTTTTTCTTTTTTTTTTTTTTTTTACACACAAAACTCCATTATTTTTTAAGTTACATTCGAATGTTCATCTTTAAAAAAGTAATTTAAACTTCAATATGAGAACATTTATTGAACTTTAATATATGAACATCCAATCCAATCGATTGACACATTCGGAAATATGAAAAACAATTGCGCTTTTTTTTTAACATCATTTCAAACATTGCTTGCAATGCAAATAATAAAATGAAAACATAAACGAAATCAAACGAGAATGTTCGTACATTTTCGCACTAAAAAGAAAAAGTATTTTGAAACCACTGTCATCGTCACGATTAAATAAGTAATCCTTTTTGCTTTATTCCTTCAGTTACAGCATCTACGTCCGCGGCTCATGTCAAATAAATATAAAAACGTTGGCTTAATTCTCATAAGCCAAATATAAAATGAAAAAAGCAAATGATAATTAACAGTTAAAAAAAGAAAAAGAAAAGCTGCGAGGTTCGCTTCAAAGGGGCTACAAAGGTCAGGGCCACAGGAGCCTTAATCGTTTGAAAAAGTAGCGCACGTACTCTTCGCAGAATATTGCAGTCGTAATTGGTCTTTTTGTTTTACACAATTATTTGACACTAACTACATCGAAGATGTAATTGCTCCTTAAGTCTTATAGAATTTTTTTACCCTACACGAAGGGTACAATGTGTTCGTGCGTATGTATACAGAAAACAGAAAGAAACGTGTGCGCTAGATGCATCATCTTTCCATCATCTTATACCAATCGATTCAGAATTATTCTCTAGAAATATATAGATTTAAGCCTCTCTGTCCACTTATGTACATCACTTAACACGCACGACATTTTAACAAAATTTTAACTGTTTTCTTCCAAAAGCGAAATCTTAAATAACAAATATATCGGATCGGGAAACTTTCACGCCCACCACTCTTACACAACACTACGCTTCTTTCTGAAATGTATAAAAAAATTCCACTAACGGCATCTTCTATTTAAACGTTTCTGCGGCCAATAGGACGAGTCGCACAAATTCGAATTTAAAGGAAGAAATCATTAAATCTACATGTCTAGGGTTAGTAAAAAATGAAGAAATTTTTTTTCCTTTAATTTTTGTGTGACTGGCCAGTATTTGAATGAAAATCGAATCCACCTCCCCACCAAACAAGTTAATCTTTCACATGTGAATTCACTTATCGAGATGCTTTTTAAGAAAGTTAAAAATCAACTAGCAAGGCATTAAGCGATAACTTCCCAGCACAATCTTTTATTGACGCAGACAGGCCCGATACTACTACCACGCCTACAGCAGGCAGAAGATCATAGCTTAAAATACGAAGCAACTAACTAATCCACAACTTTAACAAGCCTATATAACTATTTCTAATCGGATTACCGCGCTGACATATCCAACACGTAGGGTAATTGATATCAATTTTTTGGTTGCTTTAAACAGAAAACCCTCTTATAAGGACAATATCTATCTCTTGAGTTTACGATATAAAAACGTATTAGGTTGTGTTAATCTTGCAACATCAGTATTTGAGTCGATGCGATGTTATTCAGACACAAAAGCACGCATACTCGCGTGAATTATACCATGAGACGATCGCAGGAAGAAAAATGATAAATTGATGACATCCTAAATACTTTCACATTCAATGAAGTATTCGCTTTCTAAAGGCTTTCTAAGAAGGCAGTGTTACGAGGCGTAGGCGAGGTCACCATGAATTTGTCCGCAAGATGTTCAATTAACCGATAATTTGGACAATTATTAGGCGCTTGCGTATGTCTTGATATAATAAATATTAATTAAAATATTTCCCTTCTTTTTGGCAATATCGCAATACGGCCTCGAAAGAAAGACATTGGTTTGGCAGCGATCCAATCATCGACTCAGTTTTGCACTTCTTTGCCATTTCCACGTGCCATCTAAGCCATGCTGGATCGATTTGAACAAATGGTAACCGAAAGGCGCTAGGTCTAGTGAGTACGCTGGGTACGGCAGAACTTCCCATTCGAGCTGCAAGAGTGCAACGTGTAGGCGAGCGCTGTCATGCAAGAGGATGAGTTCGCGTCCGTTAATCACTATTGCTGGTCTTTTTGCACCAATACAAGGTTCAATTTGTCCAATCGGCTTCGGTAGACATTTGTAGCAACAGTTTCATTCGGTTTTAGTAGCTCGTAATGCACTACATTTTGCTGATCCCACCCCAAACACAACGGCTTCGACGTCGATGCGGGTGGCTCCTCTCGACGAACCCATAACTTTTTGCGCTTGTGATTGTCGTCGCAGAGTCAGTCACAATACGCCGCAGAAAACTGTTCTCTTTTTCTTTGGCTAGCAATGCAACCGCGATGTTGAAACTGCTCGAGTCAATTGGTGTGGTAGTCCTTTTTCCTCCGTTCGGTTGTCTGCCAGTGCATGTAAACGTCTAGAAGTAGTTGATTCATCAACCACTAAGCTATTCGAAAGACTTTTGAAAGTTTAAACTGGATTTTCGTCCAATAAGTCTTATAATACATTGTTTTCAAACCTTTCTCATCCTGCAGCCTGTTCTTTTTCAATGACATCAAACTCACCGTTAAACCGGTAAAACCAAAACCGACAATTGGAATATGATAGAGTGGCATCACCAAAAGCTTCTAAAAGTGTTTGAAGGACGTCGGTGGCAGATTTCTTTCAATCGAACAACAAAAGCAATGAATGCCGAAAATGCATTTTTGCGCGTTCCATGATTAACGTCTGTCATGCAGCTGCCAGTCGAGGAAAACGATTACTGGGAAAACAGGCTAACGGATTAAAAATGAAGCCATGAATATGCTTTTAAAAAAGTTTATAAATAGACTATTTGCGGAAGGCAGTATGAGTGGGAAGACAACATTTGAGTCGAGAGTACTGCCAAAATACATTGTGAATAATTCTATATATAATGGTAAATAAAAGAATTTTGATGTGTATTTCTCTTGAAAATAATATCCACGATCTAGTGATAGGAGTCCTATACCTTGGAAAAGCGAAATTTGTAACAATATATATCATAGAATCCCCTCTGGGACACATAGGGACAACTTTCAGCCTCTTCCCAACCAAAAAAGAGACTGGTTTTATCCTATACCAGTCTCAGTTTGAGTCTGCGGGAAGATTATGTAATAGTCGCCTTACGCCTGTCTAGTTTCACGTAGCCAACAAAAACGTGTACAACTGCGAATACATATAAAGAAACCTCGTAGCTTTAATTGAAACCGTTACAGAGTTTGACATAAGCTGCCTAAAATGCTCTTTACGTTTAAGTTTATGCTTTTAATTTGTTTTCATAGGTAACTTGTTAAAACTCTATATAGTCTATAGTGAAAAAAATAAAAAAAATAAAAAATAACATAAAACAATTTCCATAAATCGATTACTACTACACAACTACTACTACTACTACTACTACTCTTATTGTTATTATTGTTATTGTGCTTGCATTCATTCCCATAGGGTGAACAAGAAAAACGTTTTGTGAGTAATTCTTTCTAAAGAACCATAGAAAAAAAAAAAAAAATGAATAATAAATAATAAGTCAAATGCAAAATAAAAATTAATTTATTAAATCGTTTTTAAGCAAACTATCCAATCAAATTTTATTCAGATACCCCTTTTTAATTTAATAACATAAACATATGCAATATATACGTACACGCATACGCATTTGCATATACGTTTGTAATTTATCTGCATTCAATTCATATGCATACCCACGAGATTACAGCGATTGATATTCGCATACACGCATCGCAAATTTCAGATATTTCCAAACGTATTCGTACTGAAATACATTTCATTAAACACATATATTGCGTGCCGCGAATGTCGATTTGTGTAACTCCTTGTTATCAACATCAGCAGAAAAGAAGAGCATTTTTGCATTTAACATTTTATCAAACTCTATACATATCTACATATATATGTAAAAAAAAGACATCAATCATTTTTAAAATTACCTTCAACGTCGTCAACAAATACATACATTACGCAGTACATTACGCATTTAATCTTGTACTTAAAAATTAATAACATTCATAAAGCCGTAGAGCAAATGACTTTCAATTCGATCTCTTGACACACATGTTGCGAACTTTTCCTCCTCTTATTTATTTAAACTTAAACATTTGCATTCTCAAACTTCTTCTTCACCATCTTCTACAAATTGTCTCAAGACTTCTTTGTAATTATTTAGTCAACCCTACTACTATGTCATATCATTTTAATTTCTTTCTCTTCTAAAATTCATTTAATTCATTACGATTTCCGTTTGTTGCTAAACGTATGTTAGTGTCACCGGGCATGCGCTATGGAATAACAGCAGTCATGTGTTTGTTCACGCTTTAGTTTTATAATGTGTCAATGTTGTAACTGCCTATTAGTTCGCTATCCAAGCAAACCAAATTGTCTTTCCCCTGCAAAATTTTGTATTGAGAGTGCAAAATATCCGTTGTCGGATAAACTTTCCTTATCTCACTTCCCAAACTCTTAAAATTATTCAGGCATTCTCTTCCTATTCCCCCATGGAAAAGGCTGCCGGTTTTGCATTTGCTAACATCGCTAGCTGGTGAGCTGATGATTACGTTCACGATAATAATCGAAAAATGAAACCAATTGATTTAAATGATTAAAGGCAACAACTACCACGGACGCATTCACTAAACTCAATGACCTAGATGTCTAAACATGTGTGCCATGACCTTTTTTCAAGCTCTAATGATCTTGAACCTTAGATTATTGTGCCTTTCGATGATTTAAGAGAGGACTACATACCAGCGGGATTACACACCTTAATAGCATCCGCCAACGACTATGTTAACGGCGGTGTGGCTATCAAAATGTACATAATCAAATTGTTACATTAATTCCTCACTGGCAGTGACGTTTGGCATTATTTTATCCAATAATAAATCATGGTTCTGTCCATATGTCTATATCGACTAAATCGACAGTTGTCGATTATCGAGTTGCTGCGATGGTGTCGAGTCACATATTCAAATTATGACCGAGTTTACCGGTCACTGATAGCTATAAACGTATCTCATACTTTCGACATTCTGTTGCCAAAACGGTTATGTAAATTACGAAAAGGTTGCGTCCATTAGGATTCTTCGGCATCGAGCATCTAGGCGGTATTTAAGCAACGCCTCCATGTCGAATCCTCAGTATCAAGCGGCAGTCACGTCTCTTGAACATTAGGTGGTCCCATCGTTAGAATTCTTTCGTTTAGTGCCAAAGCTAGATGAACGGAATGAGCACGATATTGTCCTAAGCGTGCAATTAATTCTAAAGAGGCTTTACCTTATCGGATGAAAGTCAGTACTTCAAAGCACAAATGCTGTTTGTTGTTCATTGGCTTTAAAATATTTCTTACGATATTTTTCAAGAATTAAAACTTGATCACCTTGCGCGGCGTCAGTACGTAAAATGGTTAGTCGTATCCATAGAAAATCATCAATAATTACTGTTACTTCCAAGCGTGCCTCGTGTTGATGTGGTACACGGCAACAGTACAATAAGCGTCTGCGCTATATTCCATTATACTGCAATGATGCAATTCGAATTGTCCTTTTTACTCCTATATAAAATGTTCATGAGCCGCTTCTTCCATTAGCATGCAACGTAGAGTCGATTGCATTTCACAACACCTCAAGCGATAGTAAAACATACGCCACGATGGATTTTTTTCAATGTTGACATCTTGTAGCCCAAAGCCAGTGCTCTTATGAAAGATGAGACCCACGAAACCGGATACTAATTTCAATGTACTAGCAAGCCACCAGGACGGGTTTCACACAAATTATAGGCATATAAATTTTATAACTACTTTATAATGCTCTTTGGTTCGTTTAATCGAATGTCATAGCGTCTATAACTTATTTTATGATTTCTCAAATATCGTTGCCTTTTTTAAGCCACTTTGCAATTTTTTTCACACTAAATTCAGCCGGAAAGTGCCTTTAATCACAACATAAATTTTGTGGACATAAGCCATTTTCATATTATTCACAACGTAATCGCAGGCCAAAGGTTGCATTAATTGCGGTTTTCTTGAATAATTTTTCGATATGTATCCAATTTTGCGACGGTCCCCCCTAGGCATTCATTAACGTTACTTTTTCTTCACGCTATTCGGCTTTTTGAGCCAATTGAAAAGCATTTTTTTATTGACTTCTTCGGTAATGGACAGCATGGTATTTTTTTCTATTTTTTTTTTTAAACTTTGTATGTCTGTGTTACAGAATCTAAGGGCTCAAAATTTTTGGCTAGCATTCAACCATTCTGATTTCTAAGAAACTTACCGCAAATCAATTCCCCCCTTGGGTCCCAATAATATATGTGCTTGTATACGTTACGCTTCAGTCCGGGCTACTCCTGTACGTAATTTCTTGGTCGCTTGCAGTACTTGAGCTCATTTGTTCGTTCTTCGTTCATTTCGTTCCTCACCTGATAATTCCTTGGTGTCTTGCGTTTCATTATTCAGAACTTGAGCCTCTTGCAATAATGGATTTAAGTCCGTAACTTTTATGTTCAAATGTTGTAGATATCTATATCTATAGTTCTTGAAAATTTATGTAAAAAGGACAAATCGAACAAAAAGCATATTTTAATCCTAAGATTAGTACATCAGCCCAAAATTTTGCTTTCATCATTTACCTTTCTGTACTTTCTCACCTTTAGTGTAAATCATTTTTTTTAACTTAATGCCTCTTGCTTTTCATTTACTTTTTCCAAATGCTTAATCATATCTTATCCTATACCGTTTTCTTTTCGTCTTTTATTTTTGAGCAAATTTGTATTTCTTAATATAATCATCATTTAACGTCGACTAATTAAGCAATTTCGTTTCCTCTCTGTCCCTAACCTAACAATTTTCAGTCGGATGCTGAGAGAGCACGCGAAGAAGCCGCCGCATTGCAAGAGAAACTTGAGAAGAGCCAAGGCGAAGTATATAGATATAAAGCGAAGTTAGAGAATGCCCAGGGTGAGCAAGAGAGCTTACGGCAAGAATTAGAAAAAATACAGGCTAGTGTATCACGTATACACGGAGATCGTGATCGGGTATGGAAACTATTTACTTAGATAAACGAATCGATATAATTATTAACTTACTACAATAGGCTTTCTCGGAAGTTGACAAAATGAAAGAGGAGATGGAACGCACACAGGCTACTTTGGGTAAAGCACAACTACAGCAAGAGAAATTGCAAAACTCTCTCGACAAAGCTCAAAATGAAGTCGATCATCTGCAAGAGAAACTGGACAAAGCAAGCACTGAAAATCGTCGCCTAGTTCTAGAGAAGGAGAAACTTACTTACGAGTATGACAATTTGCAATCGCAATTGGATAAAGCCTTGGGTCAAGCGGCTCGTATGCAAAAAGAACGTGAAACTCTTACTTTGGATTCTGATCGAATCAGAGAAAAACTGGAAAAAACTCAGGTAAAAATTCAATTCACGTTAAACATACATAAATGCGTAAACTGTATGTAAGCCCATAACCTTAATTATAATATTTAGATACAACTGGCTCGTATTCAAAAAGAACGTGATCAATTCTCCGACGAACTGGAAACATTAAAGGAACGTTCGGAATCATCACAAACGCTTCTGCAAAAGGCTGCACGGGATAGAGAAGCAATGCAAACCGATTTGGAAGTACTAAAAGAACGTTACGAGAAATCCCATGCCATTCAGCAGAAGTTACAGGTAATTAAAAGACTTGGGTAATAATTGGAAAGTTGATCACTTCAAGCTGAGAAATATATTTTACAATAAAATAAATACTTTAGATGGAACGCGACGATGCTGTTACCGAAGTCGAGATATTGAAAGAAAAGCTCGACAAGGCCCTCTACGCTAGTCAGAAACTGATTGACGAGAAAGATACTTCGAATAAAGAATTTGAGAAAATGCTTGAGAAATATGATCGCGCTCAAAATGAAATTTATCGTTTGCAGTCTCGCTGCGATACTGCCGAAGCAGATCGTGCTCGCCTAGAGGTTGAGGCTGAACGTTCGTCGTTAGCTGCTTCCAAAGCTCGTGAAGATCTACGTAAGCTTCAAGAGGAAAGCACTCGCTTGCAAGAAGCTTGTGATAGGGCTGCTCTTCAACTTAGCAGAGCCAAAGAAGGTGAAGATAACGCTCGAGCCGAACTCGATCATCATCGTGAAAGGTTCGATAAAATTCAAACAGATCTGCGTCGCACTCAAGGCGAAAAAGAACATCTACAATCTGAACTTGAGAGAGTCAGCTACGAGCTGGAGAGGGCACACGCTGCACAGAGTAAAGCTAGCGCGAGTGTCGAGGCAGCTAAGGATGAGATTGCGCACTATGCAGTTGAACTTGAAAAGATGCGAGAACGTTATGAAAAGAGTCAAATCGAATTGCGTAAATTACAAGACGCCGATACTTTCGGCCGTGAAACACGTCGCCTTAAAGAAGAGAATGAACGGTTGCGAGAGAAATTGGACAAGACCCTTATGGAGCTCGAGACTATACGCGGCAAGTCCCAATATGAATCAGAAACGTTCGAGAAATATCGGGACAAATATGATAAGATTGAAAATGAAATACAAAATATGGAATCGAAACTTCACGAAACCACGTTACAACTCGAATTGTCTAAAGGCGAGGTAGCCAAACTGCTGGCGAATCAGGAAAAGCAGCGAAGCGAACTGGAACGAGCGCATATCGAAAGGGAGAAAGCTCGAGACAAGCATGAAAAACTGTTGAAAGAAGTTGAGCGCCTAAGAATACAACAAGCAACAACAGTCAGCCCAGCCGATTCTATACGTACATCGTCTGTAAATATTGGAGAGAGACAAGAAATCGACCGTTTACGTGATCGCCTTGAGAAAGCATTACAGTCCAGAGATGCCACCGAATTGGAAGCTGGACGCTTAGCGAAAGAATTAGAAAAGGCACAGATGCACTTGGCCAAACAACAGGATGCCAACGAATCTGCACGCATTGAATTCGAACGTATGTCGGCCGAATTGGGTCGCTTGCATGATCGTCTCGAAAAAGCAGATGCCGAGAAGGAGACCTTAAAACAACAACAATCTAGTCGAAATGGTGGAGCAGCTGGTGATAAGCAGCACATGCAGAAATTAGAATCTGATTGCAAACAGTTAACCATTGAAAGAGAGCAGTTGGTAATGCAGTTGGAGAAGAGTCAAGAAATACTCATGAATTTCCAAAAAGAATTACAAAATGCTGAAACTGAATTGCAAAAGGCTCGGGAAGAAAATCGAAAACTACGCAACGGACAACCGGTAGCACCGGCCGCACCCGCCGAGATCCAAGCGATGCAAAAAGAAATTCAAGCGCTGCAACAGAAATTGCAAGAATCGGAAAAGGCTGTGGCTGCAGCTGGCTCTGCGGCCGCCGGTGGGGCGTCACGAGAAGAACTCGAGCAATGGCGTAAAATGATTGAACAGGAGAAGGCTAAAGCTGACATGGCCGATAAGGCGGCACAGGAAATGCATAAGCGCATACAGGTAAAACACATATGTGTTCATATTATTGCTTACCAAGTTTTCTTACATTCGAATTTTGCTTAACAGATGATGGATCAACATATTAAGGATCAACATGCCCAAATGCAAAAAATGCATGAACAGCTGCAACAACAGCAACAACAACTTCAACAACAACACCAGCAACAACAACAGCAACAGCAAGCATCTGCCAGCACGCAAGAAAACGCTAAGGAATTAGAGAAGGTAAAGAATGAATTGCAGACAGCGTGCACACAAAGGGATCAATTCCAACAACAATTGGAGTTATTAGTGCAGGAACTGGAAAAGAGTCAGGTAAAAAATGATAGCAATAACTTCATTAATGATTTTATATTAATGTATTTTGTAATCCCACGATCTTCTTTAGTTGGGCAATCAGGAACAAGCCAAACAACTGCAAGCAGCTCAGCAGCAAGTACAACAAATGCAACAGCAAATACAATTATTACAACAACAGGTCCAACAATTGCAACAAGCCGGAGGAGCTGGTGCGGCGGCAACCGATGTACAACGACAGCAATTGGAACAACAGCAAAAGCAATTGGAAGAGGTGCGTAAGCAAATCGATAATCAAGCGAAGACAATCGAAAGCGAACGAAAGATCATCGAGGAGCAACGTAAACAAATTGAAGCCAAACGAAAAGACATTGAAGAGAAGGAGAAGATGATGAGCGAATTCGATGTGCAATTGCGCAAACGAAAAGAACAAATGGACCAATTGGAGCAACAATTACAAGCACAAGGCGGCGGAGCAGCTGCTGCCGGTGAACTCAATAAAAAACTCATGGATACCCAAAGACAATTGGAAGCGTAAGACATCTGCCAAATAAAAATTGCGTGCAAAACTTATTTTCTACATATGTATATAATTTTTTTGTTTTTCTCCTTAATGTAGTTGCATTAAAGAATTGCAAGCAACCAAAGAGGAACACAAAAAGGCAACAGCAGAAACCGAACGCCTACTTAAACTAGTGCAAATGTCACAGGAAGAGCAAAATGCCAAAGAAAAAACCATTATGGACTTGCAACAGTAAGCGAAAAATTCCTTTGCGTAATCAAAATTCAAAATTTGATCAACATTTTTATTTTTCCTCCTACAGAGCTCTAAAAATAGCTCAAGCAAAAGTCAAGCAAGCACAAACTCAGCAACAGCAAGATGTAAGTCAATGTTTGCTAATCATTTCAAACGAATGTGTAAACTTTTTATTGGGTACTTCCGTTAATAGCCGTCATTTGTTTATTTTTTTTTTTTTTTACAAAGATTCCACATCAACACGAAGGGATGTTACAAACACTTCCCATTGCTTAGTCGCGACTTTTCTCTACATATTAACAAAGTTCAGAAGTTGTGGTAGAACCCGACTTTATCTTATCTGTAATATACGTAAGATTGATTGACTTTTACATCATACATTACGTAGACTACGTTAAATGGAATGTAACGATCCGTTAACATACAAAATCACTATTTCTCCTTTAAAAGTTTGTGAAAGATCTTAAATCTAAGATCATACTTTTTCAAACTATTTCTTTCCAGAATTTCCTTATCGTTCGCCTTAATACCATTTTCTTGAACCCATCAAATTGTCTAATATCTTTTAACTAATAGGGTTCTTATTACATAGGCTTATGGCAAAATTCTTCCTTCATACCGAGGGCGAAACCAGAGTGCTTATTTCAAGCGAGTAGTAAGAACAATTTTACTCAAAAAATTGTTCATCGCCACTCCTTTTCCGTATGCATCTGGAAATTTGTAAATTTCCTTCCCAAAGTCTTCTTCTTTCGAAGCGGACAATTCGTCAAGTCTTTGTCTTCTTTATAATTGTCGGAGTTTTGCACAGAAATGTGTTAATGGAGTCAAGTCTGGTGAATAGAATGAGCGGAGCAGTACATTCCAGCCAAGTGCTTTCAACTTATTAGCAGGTTTTGCTGCGTACGCTGGTGCATTATCGTAAAGCAAGATTATATTACTCTACGTATGGGCTAATTCGGAATATTTTTCGGTCAAACTTATCCCTCAAATTGATCATTTCTGTCGAGAACATCGAGTAAGAACAGTTCCACTAGCAACTCGTAATACGTCCCACCTTTGCGATGCCAACAAACACAGAGCATTTTCTCTGATTTGTTCTTCATGTTGATGCTTGGTTTGGATTAAACGTTCGACTTCTAGGTCTTGGGCTTACAGCCGTAACGATACGATGCAAGAACGACTTTCTTTAATAGATTTGAAATACCATTCCACTCATGAGTTTTCAGCTCTCCATGCATCACTCATTGATATAACCATACTGTTTCACCGTACTTATTCTTTCATCATTTACTGCGGCCGAAATTTTACGAGCCTTCTGGCACTATAGATGTATCGAAACCCTCACCTATTCATGGTGTGCGCTATAAACGTAGCTAAGCGCTTTAACGTTCTTCATTTTAAAAACTCTTCAGCTATCGATAAAGAAGAGTTTAAGGTTTATTCTCTATAACCTGGCAGCAGGTTTTACTCTGGGAAGCCTATGAGAGCATCGCAAGAAGGCCTTTTTTTTATAAAAAGGGAAAAAATTTCTTCTCCCGAGTAGTAGAGACAATCGGGTACAGGCTCTGTTGATGACGTCTACTGAGGCATTTTGCAGCGAAAAGGAATAGGGTGCTGGATGGCATTCCAGAATGTTTGAAAAGTCGAAAGACAAGCGTGGCTTCGACTGCGTATGGTAAGAGTACGTCGCGAGACGGAAAGTTGATTGTTAATAGAGGTCTACCGAGGTCATGTCGCTCAAAGGGGGATTGCTCCTAATAAGTATGATACACTTCCCATCAAATTACCAGAAGAATGCTCTCTTATTTGACTGGTCTTCGGGTAGTATTGTGTTAACGATGGTTACCCCGAATATTCGCTATGAGGCTAAGTGGGCAGGGTTAGCGACCCGGAACTATCTAGCTATATGTCTCGACGCTGACCACAGTTGCGAGAAAAACAGCTCATATCCATTTCTTTCTTATTCTAGTACCTTATCGCTTCCCTGGGGATTGTCCTACTCCTTGAGGAGCGTTAGTTACCGCTTATCTAATTGACCCCTTGTGCCACCGGTCGCGGTGAGATAAGACTATAAAAACGGTTACTCTGCTTAAACGGGTCCGGAAATATCATTTGTTGTATTTCCGCATCGTCTTATTAAAATGTTGCTCGCACTTCACTTCAAACATCTGCATGGAACTTGTCCATGTAAGAGCTTGCGCTGAAAGGAATAAATTTTAAGTTATAGAGAAAGATGGTCGAAAATGAAGTACATTAACGCAAGTACCTAATACCTATGTTTATTAATCTATCTAGAGTGTATATCTAATTAAATTTATCTTTTTTACTTTCTTTGTGAAATTTTTTTTTAGGCTGGACCTGCGGGATTCTTAAAAAGCTTTTTCTAAAATGTATTATTATTTATCTTCTTCGAAATTCTCTTCCTGCCTCTTATTTCTCTTATCCCACAATTACAAACTACGTCTCTACAGCCCAATTATATATAATACAACATACATAAATAAATTAGTTACTTATTTGTAAATGCATACTACAAATACACACATTCACATCCACGCATCTATACAAACATGCATACATACATATGTATTAAATAACTATTAATATTTTTTAAACTATAACAAATAATAGCCATAACAAAACGCAATGCATCTTCAATACAGAGCAGCAATAATTTTTACAAAACTTATCAACTTACGGTAGCATTAAAATGCAAATTCTTTCCCATTCGTCCTTTTTGCCTCTGCTTTCGCTCCAATCAATTAAATTTTTCTCATTACTGCTATGAAAACAGTTACAATTATCAACGATTTAATAATATCTGTATACCCACCACCGGAGCATAGATAGATATATAAAATATTTTTAATTCCATTTGTGTATATAATTGCTCTTGAGAGTTTTTATTATCGTTACGACCCAAAAAAATCGTATGAATTTACAAGATCGGGCGTTGCGAATCTATTATTACTCCTGCATATATGTCGATATATGTTTTACATGTTTTCTTTTGTCCGGAATTATTATTTACACTTACATTTCAAGATTAATTATCTTCAATCAAACAACAGTTACATTTTTTTTTTTCGTCCGATTATACGATAATATTTATTGTCTCAGTATGAAAATAGGATTTATATTTCAGCCTTTTTGTTGTCCGAAAATATAGTTTACATAAAATTTTTACACCAATTTACCGATAATTAATTCCTTCTTCTCAGACTATGATTTAAATTCAATTTTTTAACTATGTTGTCTATGTGCGGAAATATGATATACATTTTAGCTTTTCTTGTTTTCCGAAAAAATAGTTTACATGGGCTATTTAATTAATTGCCCGTAATCTGTTCTTTTGAACAGGTTCGTGCTTCGATTTTGTCTTTAACGAAACTTTATAATTGGAGTTTCCCTCATTTTTTCGATTTTTTACGTTCCCTTCTTACATTCGCACCTTCACTTGCTTTGACTCCAAATTTCTTTGACTTGCAATTCAATGCAATTTTGATTACAATTCACGATTTTGTAAGAAGAAGAGGACTTTTCTCTAATTACTTGTCGATAACTAGTATTGAACTATTGAACTGCATAGTCTTTGTATGTTATATTTTTGAATAAAGGCATCGTTTTCATACATTTTTGGTGATGGCATCGCTTGCCGCTCATTGAATGAAATTTGAAACTAGGTGGTGGGTATCCAAAGTTCGCCATAGCGCGAATAAAGCATTCTCAGTTGTTTTTTTTTTTTATCATAATATATCGTATAGTAAAAAAACAATTTCAATACATATTTCAATATAAATTTCATGTTTTTATTTTTAAATTTATTGCAAATTATCAGTAACATTTTCTACGATTCCAAATGAGTAGATAGTATCATAGTACAATATTATAACAACACTTGTACAGTTAAACACTTACACTATGAAAAAAAAAAGAAAAGAAAAACAAAAACAAAAAAGTGATAAAAAAATCTCATAAAAACACTACTTATGATATATATTTAAATAATTATTAAGAAGCAAAAATTAATTTAAAAAAAAGAAAAAAACAAAAAGAAAGTAAAAGAGAAATAGAGATTATTTATGGCTTTAGCCAAATCATCTGTTACCCACCAGCTGCATTGTCAAAACGAGAAAAAAAAACTCATACGTATCGCCCTATCTTTAAACTGCCATTTGTAGGCAACGGATACACAAGTCTGAACACAAACTTTCTCACACGTTCAAAAAATAGAAGACGTAGTACTAGCCTTATTATTCAGAATGTAGCCTTAGGTAATGTATGCAGTTGCTTTCGAACAGTTCACAAGTCCCGCCTGCAATTCGTTTCACATATGTTTGCTGTTCGCCGTTCTACTACCTATCTACCTATCAGAGACCTGACATCCAATGCAACTCTACATCTGCGTCTTACGTTACGAATTAATATCGTTTCACTCTGAATTTCTCCGTAAACGGTTCGATTTGCGCGTCAGTTTTAAGCTATGATTTGTTTCATGTTCCTTAACTTAGAACGTCCATATATCGTCTAAAAACAATAGCATAGTTTATTGTAGGAAGATGCTAGAATATCAGTCAAAATTGCTGCTGTTTGTTAAAAAATCGCGGCAAGCTTAATTTCTAACAATGACCCGATTACTGCTAAACGAGATGCCTGGGATATCTGCAAATTTCAAACTTTCCTTTTTTTCTCCCTTTGCATTTCACATAACTCTAAAGCTTCAGAAGCGATCATTAAGATATTTTGAAATAATTTTAGCAATATTTAGCAAATCTGCGAAAGACAGGGATAGGTTTTCACACCTACATGCATTTGTGAAGACAAAAGAAACCAGAAAATGATAATATTAAGAACAGGGTTAAAATTTTTGGTCCTAAGGGTTAGCTTTTACGAATACGCATTGAATGAATGAATGTTAAGACCCTGAAGACCCTTTTTAGGGTGCGATGCAAAACTAAATGACTACTACTAGTATCACTAACAATGAAATCACACTCCATAGCGCTACTTGTACTTAAATTGCCATCCGATAACCATAAGGATAAATAGGTTTTCCCAAAAAGGCCCATTTACCAAACGCGAACTGTTTTAATTCAAGAATGTTTTGATCAAGCAACGCTGATATTTCATTAAATGACCTAGCAGCTTTCATTAGGCTGACCAATCCGACAATTTTACGTAAAGCTTTGTTTAAATTGCTTGTTCACTTCTCATTTTAGTGGCGAAGGTAGAAGAACCAAAATGCAATATGTCCTACAAAATGAAAAACGAGAGGAACGTTGGAACAGCTGTATAAATAAATATAACCGAAGCACTTTTTAGCAGGAAGCGCTGCTAATCTATCATTCTTCCCTAAACGAAAGTTGAATTCTTTCAGCGGATACCAAAAAATAATATACAAAAAGGTAGAAGTAACTCCTAGAAAGGTAGTATCGGAATCAAAAAAAATCCTATATCCAAAAGGGCTACTTTGTTTTCTTTGCTGGAAAGAATTTTAAAGAGGTATTGCTGTCAAGAAACCCCGTAAAATTTTTAGACGAGAATGCAGCTCATCAATCATCTCGAGAAGATATTAGAACGGAGACTTCGTGCGTTAGACGTTAAATGAGATATTTTTTTAATCGGAGCAAACGGCTTAAAACATTTCTTCTTATGTAACGGTATTATCTTATGTCTGAAAAGACAGGCTAATATAGTAGTTGTTGGACAAACAGTCATATCTTAAGGAAGTGTGCAGCTCCACGCGTTTAAAATTGAACTAACTCAGGGACTTAAAACACAAACGCTCTCTACGCAGTTTTTTTATTACACCTCTGTACATAAATAATTTGGCAATTTCTACTGAATTTTAGTGCTTTATCAGAGATGGAAGGAACGCTTTTTACAAAGGCTAACCGCTTTTTATATGCTATTAAATACTATCTTCTTAGAGCGGTACAGCAAATTTCCGGTTTCTATAATTTACACCGTTTGCGATGCAAGGGTGTATTAAGCTTGTGCGGATGTACACAACATCCACTTTCGATTCACAGTCACTTTCTGAATCAATTGGAAACTGTTTGTTGGTCTACCCGTCGTGCTTTCTAGTGTTCAATTTACAGGTGGCAATTTTCACATATTTTCACGAAATTTTTTACACAGATGTGTTTTGGCTCAAAGGCGAACACTATTGAAAATGGTTCAGATCGAATTGCTCTTTTTACTACTTCCCATATAACGCCTTGTCCTTGAAAAGTCATTACAAAAATCAAAGTAGTAATCGGAGTGGTGTAGAGTGGTAGTAATGGTGGGTTCAGTCCCACTATAATGTTTTCACTTGTTTAGTCTGTGTTTTGAGAAAATCCAATAGCAATTTATAGAAGAGTTTTATCGCAAATTCAAAATTCAAAAAGTGCTGCATTCATTAATAGACGACATATTATTATTGTTATTATTATAATTATTAGGAAAATATCAACAATAGAACCAAGTATAAATCGTTAGTTTCGTATAAAAGGTCTTAAAATAAACGTGTTACAATATTATTATGACCAAGATTATAGAAACACATAAAAATACTAGTGGCTAGTCTTTACTTTTCACTAACCGTAATCGTTCTAGAAAGACCATATTGAAATCAGATTTTAATGATTACCTAACTTTTCTTCTTGACACTTGTTCATTTATTTACTTAACGTCTGCTATTCTACTGCTGAACTCGGAAGATGTATTATAATGAGATATATGTTCCAAGCATTTGCTGAGCAATCCATTTTAAAAACCAACATATTTCCAGCTTATTGTTATTGCAGACTCGTTTTCAAACTCAATTATGTAATCGTTCACTTCATCGTTGCTTCAAAGATCAAGCAATTAATTCTTTACTTAAAAAGCTCAATTTTATTTTCATCTTCAACAGGTAATCCTAACATAGTAAGCACGAGCTTCAAGTCAGACTTATAAGACTTACGTAATAAACGAAGATATCAAGCATTTCTGCTTAAATAAAGGGCATAAAAAGTAATATAAGAAAAAAAAAAATTTTTTTTTTTTTTTTTTTGAGAAAACGTAAGACATCTTAACTCGTTATAAGTAATAATAATAAATATTCGTTTTGGGTATTAGAGTAAATTTTTTAATAAAATAATGATGATAACCATATATACATATGACACATACCATATACATATGTAGATACATTAATATATATTATTAATATACATATTTAGATATTCTTCATTTTAATTAAGTATGCGCACACATGCATATGTATATAATCGTACATAAAAACATGCAATATTTATGGCAATAAAATGTTAGGAGAAATGAAATGAATGGACACAAAAACGCTGTGTGTTTACGACAGCAAGTAATTCCTTTAGAAAATATATATAAATCATATGTACACAAGGCCACATGTATATATATACATATAAATATAGACGCATATATATATATATATATATATATATATTTGCATACTTACATATAGATGTATTTATTTATTTAGTTACAAGCATCCACATATAAACACCCATATATATGCATTTGTTCATTCATTAATTTTTTTATTTATGAAGTGTTATGGTAATCGGAATTTACAATTTTGAGGACGTTCTTAAGGAAACTCGCTTCCAATTTCTTTGCTTTGCTTATTAATAAAATTCCATTGTAAAATGCGAAAAATCAATTAAATTGTGGCGAGAATTCGTCCGTAACTACTCAAACCCCAACTAAAGTAAATATTAGCACAAACATGTCATAATGCCAGACAGAGTATAGTGGTTCAAAACAAAGAAGGTGGCGGAATATTTACAATACAATGGCATTCAAATCGACGATTCATTGAAAAGTGCTTCCAAATCATACAAAAATTTGATTTGAAATATTTAAAATACATACGGTACGATATACGATGCATAAATAAAGCTCTACTCATACGTATGATCTAATATCGTATATTAATGTATTCGACCTAAATCGTTTTTTTGTAGGTTAGTATAAATATCCCGAGTTATCTTACGCCGTTGAGCGTTCTTAAAGCTGCAAGCTACACAGTTTCGATTCACCTTTCATCACAAAGCGTTCTTAGAATCATAAGCCACTTAGTTTGAATATTCTAAGAATTTACGTTGTGTTGACTGCACCGGTTACGTCAACTTGATGCTTAGAAATCGTAAAAACAAAAGTGAAAACTTTTTTTTAAGTCTGTTTATATCATTCTCTCTGATATTTTTGGTGTGAACTGTACCCTTGAAGAACTACTTCCACTGCTGTATGCTCTCGTTCCGATTGATTTGCAATGTGTTTGGGAAAAAAAAATGGAACAACAAAAGCAAACAGTGGGTGGCGGAAGAGACTTAAATTATTTCATTATCGTTTTCATAGGTTTTCCAGCTAAATAACTTCAACGAGCCACACTCGACGTAGGAGTGGAACGAGTTAAATGTATTCCTTTAAAAATTCCGGACACTTTTTACACCCTATGCACATATATACACAGTTGGCTATAATCATCACGGGTGATTTGCAGACTAATAATTTCTTCCTTAAATTATGCCTTCAAATTGTTCTATATATATATATATATATATATATATATACTTAACAACTTCAGACATTTTGTAATATATATTTGTATATACATTTTTTCGAATCTTTACCCAGAAACAGCAATCAAAAGATTAATTTTTTATTCTCTAAATGTCTTAATGTATTATATTATAATATATTCAATTAATTCTGTACAAACACTTATTTGTCGTTACGTTACAAAAGACAAGAGTACTTTTTATCATTTTAATTAGCATTAAACTGACTATTATCTTGTTTCCTACTTTTTTTTTTCTTTTGTTGCTTTCTTATCAATTGTTTGATTTGCTAATGCAAAAGTTATTAGATCAAGTAAATTGAATAATTAATAATATGAAATAATAATGATAAATATGTATTTATTCGGTAATTAGATAAACCAATCATCTCGTATATCTATT